TTGTTTAAAATTTCCAGTTTGGAGCACATTGATAGATGGATGTTAGTCATTATGCCTCTGGCCTATTTTTTTTTTTTTTGGTCAGAGGCTTCCATTCCGTTTTTAAGCTAAATATAAAATAATAGTTCTGAACAGGAGTGTGCTTTAATTCTGGAACCCCAACATTTGCCAGCTCAGCTCAGTGCTTAGATGTATCAAGTTAATTCTCTGCATTTATTATTGAAGGCACACTCTTAAAGGTCAAAATATGATTTTTTAGTAATCAATAGTTCTGATACTTTTTTTTGAAAGTAGCACCATTCATTGAAACTCTCTATGTGAAGTTAACAGTTAAAACTTGAAATGGTACCTCTTGAAACATGTAAATAAGACATTTATGATCATCCAGCAAAAGGCTTAGCCAGTGAACTTGAGTTATTATATTTCACAGCAGTGATACATAACAAAGGGTCAACAAAAGGGAACCCGAGGGATTGGATTAAACAGAGTGGTATGTTATATAGTAATTACATGCAGATCTCCATTAGAGATCTACACAGTGTCCTCAGAATGAGCAGAAATCCTGTCTGACTCCTCTCTTATCCCCATTTATGTAACATATTAAGTCAGAAGACTGAATGTATGACTTCATGCCTTTCTTTTGTTCCTGTCCACAGAGCTAGTTAAATTAAAGTAGCTCATTAAACAACCATGTCTCTCTGACCTTGGATTCCATTTATGTAGTTTGTGTGAGATAGATGGAGAAAGCAAAACATGACTAGAATTTAGGAATAGTTGAGGCATAACACATTTATCTAATACAGTTAAAATCTTCCATTTTAATGCTGTCTTCCATTTCATTTTATGTTGAAGGTAAGAGTCCCTCCAGGATACATGGATATGGTTGTAGGCTTCCCTGACATTGCTTCTTGCATTTCTCCCATCATTTATCAAGTGGATGTGGTTGATTGGAGTGTAATCTTAGGGAGTGGGTGTTTTTTTTTGACAGGGCACCTGGGAAGCATTTTATGAAATATTGGTGGAAGGTGTCTTTGAATCAGGCTTGGCCTCAGATATTGTATGACTTCTGTAGCATAGGGAAGAAATGATAAGGGCTAATATCGTCTAAAACCCTCATTCATGGCTGTAGTAGAATGAAGACCCAATCATGCCAAACTAGGGGGACCAACTGTATTGCAGACATGGGTACCAGACAGAACTGGCAGCAAGTGTCTGTGGCAGTGATAGTAGTACATTCAGGTTCATCTCTACTCAGTTAGAGATTAATGTTTAATTTTGGAAGTGAAACAAAGCAGGAAATGTCTCTAGGCAGGAAAAATATGTATAGTTAGAAGGTATGATAATTAGAGGAGACTTTCAGTTTGAGCCAAAATGGGGGTAGGATGTTGATGGCCGGAGGTATAGAGTAGGGTTCTGAGGAGAAGAACACAGTCAGAAAATGAAGGTGAAGTCTGTTGTACAAACTGAGTAAATGGATTAAAATAGTAAACAGAAATGCTACAGTTTGAAGAGCACAAGTATTTCAATCAATTTATTTCATTCAAACCAGCTCAGAAATATTTGTGAGCATCTATAATGCTTAAAGCGTCAGTTAGACTCTGAAGGTTAATAGAAAGAGCACAACTGGGAAGTCCTTACCGCTTGCTGCTTGTAGTCTTTTGGGGAGTAAAGACCTGGAAATAGCAGACTTATTAGTGCTAGCATAAGAACACTAACAAAATTATTTTCATTTTGAATATTTTGCAAAAAAAGTTATTTCACAGTTATCACTGAGGCATCAAGATCTGAGGGGAAGTAGAGTCAACCCTTCTGTTTGTTTTAAACAAGTTATATTTGGGGGAGGCATAAAGTATTTGAGAAGTAAGGGCCAAATGAAGGACCATGGCTTTGGAAAAGTGAAAGAATGAATGGGAAATTACCTTTCTCAAGCTGCGTACGCACACTTGAGGAGAAATGGAAAATGTCATAAAATATTGCAGGATTTCTAATTCACATGACAGAGGGCAAAGGCGCCTATTACAACTCGTTACTCATCCCAACATGACCGCCAGAAAGTAGAAGGTGGTTTATGATGTTAAGGCTTTAGTGGGTCCTTTCTCAATGTGTAGGAAGTTTTTTAAGTTTATTTTTTTTTCATTTGAATCAGGGAATTGTCAATGCTGCTGTTTTCAATACTAGTTTGTTAAGTGCTGGAATAAAAATCATTTCTGTTTTCTACATGTTTGTCCACTAGAATTAAATAAAAAGGAGAATCTTATGAAAAAATCCTAAGAGGATAAAAAGCTTTTCAGATTATGATAGCTGTAGACAATGATTTTAACCTGTATTCTAGCAGTGAGGAGGAATATTAAGGGATCAAATATCTTTTTTGTGTTATTCGTCAAAGTGAAGAAACGGTGGTCATTAAAAGAACAACAGATGGGGCAGTGGAGTGTATTCAAAAGATGGGCGTATGGAGAGTAAAGCATAATTCTCTCCCTATGAAGAGGCAGTGACTTGTGTTTTCCACCTCTCTCTTCCTTTCTAGTTTGCTTACGTAGAGACAGTCATATAATCTACCAGGACACGTTAGCTACAAGGAAACACTTGAATTGGGAATCATGACAGTGTAGAATGTTTTTCTGGTGTTCATGTAGATCAGACAGTAGACAGGCCACGGCAGTGTTCTGATTTTGCATTGGCCCAAAGGTGGAGTGAGCCTACCGGCTAGCTGTGCAGACAGCTCCAATGCTCACACTGCAAAGACACTTAAAATTTTACTGGTAAAACCAAAGGTGTCCATAGAAATTTTTTGAAGTGTCAGGGGAGGAAACCCACAGGAAGAAAGGAGAGAAGGACTCATCACACTGTCACTGATTAGATAGCCTTGACTATATTATGTATTGTTTCTTATCTGATTCTTCTACTCAAATGTAGTCTCCTTGAGGACAGAGATTTTTGTCTCTTTTATTCAGTGGTATGTGTCAAGTAAAAGTTGTGCAATAAATATCTGAATAAAGAAATGAACGGGTGAATAAATTTTGCATCTACTTTGGCTATGACATTTGTCAGAAAGAATAGAACAGTTAACTACAGTGAAAGTCACTAACCCTAGGATTTTGTAATTTGAAGTGGTTAATGTGGATGTAGATCTCATATAACGTTTTATAGAAAAAATCAATACTATAGATAAAGAATTATGCTTTTAATTATACTTTTTCTTTTACCTTTTCTGGCTGTATAATTAGGTGATAGGGTATTGTTTAAGGTTGTGTAAAAAAGCAAATGAGAATAAATAAAAAGTAGGACAGCCGAACTGACATTGATAATAGGGGAGATGGTTGAGTGGGTAGGTGCATATTTATAGAGGAATTTCCTCCCATCAAGAAGGGGATAAAATGGAGTGAAAATTACATTACATTCTAGTTCAACTTTAGTCATGGTACCTGCTTGGGTAGAAATGCTTGGTTGTGTTTGGGATTCAAATATTTATATGTATAAAAAGTTATTTATTTTATGAAATGCCTCAGATAGGAAGGTGAAGATAAAAACATAATGAATACATAGGTACTCATCACCCATGTTGAAACAAAAGTAATGAACACCCAAGTATCTCCCACTCACATTTAATAAGTATATTTATTTTACTTTCTGATTCAGATTTTTAAACAGAAATATAACAGAGATGAGAATCACTTTTAACCTTCTCCAAACAAAAATTTGCTATCCATGAGATTGTAAAATTAAGCCTTATTATATAAACCAATTTCAGTGTGCTTTTTAAAAAGCCATTTTAATGATTAAGAAAAGATTCAGTATAGTTTTTTCATTAAAAAATAGTAACAGTATAAATTGTCAAATCACAAGTTTTTAAAAGTTTAGAAATTATTTATTTTCAAAAGAAAACTATTTGCAAATGAAGAGTATGTTGTTTGCCAGCCAAATGCTTTACTATTTTGTACTCTGGAAAACTTTTCTAGTACCTGTGTTCCATATATTTTTCACCATGAAAAATTCTATACAAAGAATATAAGCGCTGAACTGGTAGTATTGATTACTTTGAGTAGAAAAGATTGGGTCATGTAGAACTTGCCATTCTAATATACTTTGGTAATATTTAAATTTTATATAATGAGCTTATTCAGAATTAAGAAAAGGTAAATGTTAAACACATGTTTTTTTAGTTACCTTTTAATATATAGTATCCAATTCAATGTCTCTTTTTCACAATGGATGTGATATGGAAAGAACAGATACACTTATAACAATACATATATATGTATATGATATATATCTCACATATATACATATTTCACTAGCCAGATAAGTATATTGGATACTTATGCTGCTGTTTCCAATATATTTATAAATTTTATAAGGGAACAAAGTTTTCTATGTTAAATCATGCTATTTATGATAATTTGAAGGGGTGCCATTATTTTTTCTTTATTTTCTTAACAGGGAATGTTCTCTTTCTAACCCAGCATAGTTAACAAGTTTTTGTTTTCACACATTTGATTATGTCATGTTGGAGGGGGAAGTAATGCTCTGCTAATTGAAGAAATTAACAATGTATTAATAACTTGACAAGCATACTCTGGGTTGTATAACTAAAATTGTTTATGAGCAGTCAGAGAAAATAACTAACGTAACTGATTTAAGAATCTAATACAACTTATGTTTTTTTTTAATGATACATAGTTTCTATTTTGGGGAGTAATCAAACTCAGTAAATCAAAGGCAAAGAATAACAAAATTATTAGAAGGAAAGTACAACTGTTGATTTTTATTTCTTTAAAAATTTTCCTTAAAATATAGATTGCTTAAGTCTCTGAGGTTTATTAATTATACTTAATAGAATACTATTAATGAGTTAATATTTTAATATAAATTAAAGTAATTTGAGCAACTATATTTTGTGTTTCAGTTAATGACAGTTTCAAATAGTGTGATGCATTTTAAAGAAATGTTTTTGTACTTACATCATTATATTAGTGATCATTGTTTTATATTATTTCCAGGTAAAAGAGTGGCTCTGTTTAAACTGTCAGATGCAAAGAGCTCTAGGATGTGATCTGGCTCCAGTTCCATCATCACCCCAACCCAAACCGAAGACTGCCCCTGTTATTTCTACATCAGCAGTGAGCAAACCATCCCCACAGTCACAGCAGGTTTCTCCAAAGAAGGATACTGCACCCCAACAGGGTATCTCAAAAGCCCCTGAGTCTAAAAAGCCCCCACCACTAGTGAAACAGCCAACCCTTCGCGGTTCTCCCCCAGTCACGGCCAAGCAAACTCCTGTGGCAGAGTCTGCATCCAAGCCAGACCCTCTCAAAGAGCCTTCTGTCCCACCTGAGGAGGCCAAGGTCCCCACAGCCAGTGATAAACCACAGCAGCCCAAGACAGCAAAGCCAACCAGCGACTTTGTGTCCTTGTCGTCAACAGTGGTGAAACCTGGTACTCCAGGCTCTGAGGCACCATCTCAGGATCAAGAGATAACACCCTGTCCTCTAAAAACAGACTCTGCCAAACCCTCACAGAGTTTTCCACCACCTGGAGAAAGAGTCACCTCATTCGATTCTAAAGTCATTCCTCGACCTGCATCGGATTTGAAAATTATTTCACATCCTGGGCCTGGTTCAGAGAGCACAGGTCAAAAACACGTAGATCTGGTTCAGAAGAAGGAAGAACCCAAGAAAGCACAAACCAAGACGAGCCCCAAGCCAGTGATCAAAGGGTCCCCGACACCTCCAGGCCCACGACCTACCCCTGGACAAACTGCCCCCAAGGTTCAGCAGCCTCCAAAGCCTCAGGAGCAGTCGAGACGTTTCAGTCTGAATTTGGGAAGTATTACTGATGCCCCTAAATCACAGCCCACAACTCCTCAAGAAACTGTGACTGGGAAGCTCTTTGGGTTTGGAGCATCAATCTTCAGCCAGGCATCAAATTTAATAGCCACTGCAGGCCAGCCGGGGTCTCATTCACAGAGTGGGCCAGGAGCCCCAACAAAACAAGGCCCTGCACCTCCACAGCCAGCTCCTCCTCAGGGGCCACCCAAGTCCGCAGCACAGGGACCACCAGCACCTGCAAAGGTCATGCCTGTGAAAAAGGAAACAAAGGCTCCAGTAGCTGAAAAATTAGAACCCAAAGCTGAACAAGTTCCAATGGTAAAAAGAACAGAAACAGAAAAGAAGCCTCCACCCATTAAGGATAGCAAACCTTTGGCAGCTGAGCCTCAAAAGGCTGCCCTTCCCTCCAAACTGGAGAAAAGCCCCAAACCAGAATCAGCCTGTCCTCTCTGCAAAACTGAATTGAACATAGGTTCCAAGGATCCTCCTAACTTCAGTACTTGCACTGAATGCAAGAATCAAGTATGTAACCTCTGTGGATTTAACCCTACACCACACTTGACAGAGGTAAGCAATGTATTTTACATATGGATATGATTATATCATGTTTATTCTGAAATATTTTGGTAGCCAAAGTTCTGGGCAGAAACTACATTTCTAAAAGAAAAATTGATATTGATATCTTAGAAGAAGTTTCAGTTGCTTATTACAGGCTTTCTTATTAAAAGTTCATGTAATGTATATTTTTCTGGGTTAATACACCAGAAGTAAGATGATAAAATAAGCTGACAACTTAATATAATAATTATCCCAATCCTTCATTAATTAAATAGCTATCTGATTTTCACTTATAAATACCAAATATCTCTAATCCTTCCAGTCTCTTTAACACATTTAAAAAAAGTTGGGTTGCTTACAGATCCATAAACAATGTGGTATCTGTTATTTTAAAAACATTGTTAAGAAACTTTGTGTAAGTTGTTAATACTGCCTACCAGAAAATACTGATTCAATATGTCTAGACTTATTATAATTATTTTTAAGCTATTTCCTGGCATAAATAGAGCACTTTATTAAGGGCTATGTAAAGAAAAAAAACAATGGATTTCCATGACTAATGTCAAGGAATTCTTCTTTTTCTTTTTTAATGGATGACAAAACACTTTCTTCATAATGTGAAGAACCAAAAAGTAGCTGGCAGATTTCTACCTAAGACAATTATAAAAGAAGGTATCTATGAGCATTAGTAATACATCAGTCTATTAGAATATTTGGATCCTGGGAAACTGAGAGGTTAAAGATGGTTGCTATCTTAAATAAATAATAACAATGCTTTAATAAACATTTGGGGATTGAATTTAAATAACTGTTCACTGTTACATGAATCAAAAAATATTTAAGGATTATTTTATTCTACTCTCTTTGATTTTATAATTCATTGGAATGGAAAAATTGAACAGATTTCAGTAACTACACAGAGCAGCTTTAGAGAGTCTTGGTGTTTTTGAGTTAAATATTTTCTTTAAAAAATAAACTGTAGAAAATTTTTTTTTTTTACTGTGAAAACAATTATGTTGCTTTGACATAATTAATACTATATGAAAGAATTGTCCCTACAGACAAAAGCACATTTTATCCTCCTTAACTGTGATGAATAAAGTTAATTAAGATCCATTTTAAAGGTAAATAAAATTTGATTTCTCTCAGCATTTCATGAGTGGTAACAACTGTAATTATTACTTACAGTGTTTTGGATTCAATGCAAAAGCAAAACAAAAAACAAACCTTATATTTATTTGATATATTTAGAATAGTTGTTTTTGGTTGTGTATTCATGAAGAGGAAAAGTTTGGTTTTCCCAGTACAATTGTATTTATCTCTTGGGTTTAAAGAATTGTACCCTTTAATAGGTCGCCTTATGATATCAACACAGTGCAATTAAATAGCTGTAAAACAAACTGCATCACTATAAACAAAACTATAATGTCTGCATTAAGGCATATTTTGTGCCCACTAAAAATGGTTTCTTTAATGCAGAGGGAAGAGTATAATATACATATCTGTGTGCATGCATATGTGTGTGTGTGTGTGTGTGTGTGTGTGTGTGTGTGTGTGTGTATATATATATATATATATAGTGATTACTATAATTCTGTCAGTGTTTGGAGGAAAGGAGAATCTTTGACTTTCTGTGTGTTGGTAAATTATATTTTGGAGGAGATAATTTGGAAAGGAGTTTTCTTGAATAAAGCAGAGCATTATCTAGCACATATGTAGAATTTCAATGGTTTGAAACTATAAATGGTTTTAAGTTTTCAGATGGTCTAGGTGAAGTCCTGTTTTAAATATGATCCATGGGATTTAGATGATCTGTCATTATTCAGAATATTTTCCTATGAGGTAACTTATTTGAATTTGGAAGATCATGTTTCATAATACATATGATGTAACAAAAGCAGTGGACTAGTATTCCTGGCTTAACTTGACTCTACTAATCCACATGAAGTTTTCAGTTAGTTTAAGTCCTCAGTGACCTCTGGTGTTTAGATCAAGTCCATTGGCTGACATAGCATCAAGGGAGAGAATGATGTTAGTTGAGTTAATCCATGTGCAAGTAGTTCTTATTATTTTTACCCCAAAGGACTTCAGAGGACTGGCAGAGTTAGTTCCAAAGAAAGGCACAATGTGTTTGCCTATATGTGTGTGCATACATGTACACATATAGCCAGCAAGTTGTAAATATGATTTATAGGCTTAACTTAAGGTGCTATCCCAAAGTTCATACTAAGAATCTCTCTTCATTTCCCTCAGTAAGGAGTGATTAGGAAAGCCTCTTTTCCTTGACCCTTCATTTGTTTCTGATTTCCTCATTATGCTTGTCATATTTTTTTCTTGTAATCCAGTATTTTATGCTGGGCTGGCACTGTACATTGATTCTAGTTTTGGGGAGTGCATTCTGAAGATACTCAGACTTTATGCCTGCAGTGCAAAGGAATGGTCTAAGAAAGGATTCAGCTTGTCCATTTATTTTTCAAATAAAGCACACTAAGCTCTATGTTACAAGCTTCTGCTTCTACTACACTAAGCACTGCGAGGTCGGACTTCTCTTCCTGCTGGTGCCTTCTGTTCCTCTGGGGGTGGGAAATGCTGATTATAGTTTGTCCTGGGTTAGGGAGCTACAGAGTGTATCTGCTGTCCCTCTCCCCTCCCCCCCAATAATCAAGCACTCCTGTTTCTAAGGCTGCTTCCTGTCTCTGTGCACAGCTTCCCCAAGAGCACCTGAGGAGTGCCAAGGGCCACCAGCAGGCCCTGGGGCACTGCCAGGCTTCAGTCTAAGCTCCATGGTTTAACTGTTTGATGGCCAGTTTAAATTAGTGGAACTATTATCGTTAACCTCTGATAGCAAGGAACAATTCTTTTAGGCTTTCATTTCTGCTAACTCAAGGAATATTTTATCTTGGAAGGAATTTTCACAGTGGCACCAAGGATTTCTGGAAGAGCTAGTCTAATAAAATTTGAAGCATGCTGAGAAAAAAATGATCTAAATTGGCAATCAGTTTATCTAGTGAATTTTAATCATTCTGGTTTAGGAATCTGCAAAAAGGAATCAAAATTCCTCATAGTGAGTATTCATTTTATTTTTTACTACACTTTTTGAAAGTAATTTTTAAACTATGAGTATAAAACTTAAAACTGCTTCCTCGTATTTCATGAAGTCCTACAGTCAGAATTTTGCTTCCTTAGTAAGATAATTCTGCATGGCCTAAGTGACATAGGAATAGCTAGCATATATTTGTCACCAGGTAACAAATGGGCCTCTTGAGCCAATTTAAGACCCAGTGGTATAACTGAGACCCTTTAGATCTGTACTCTCTAGCTAGAGTGGTTTTTGAATTCTCTGTCAAATAGTCAAGGATGGCATAGTAGGGATACTGTGTTTGTTAGTTTGGCAAACACGTAATATCTGTCCATTACTTTAAAGATCATTAGTTAATACTTTAAAAAAATAATGTATCCAATACTAAAAAGCATACACACATGTATGAACACAAGAAATAAAACACTGTATGATAAAAAATCAATAAAGAGAAAAGAATTCTACCAATAATTATTTTTAAAATAGTTACATAATAGAGATCTAGACTCTGTGTGAATAAAATCCATGGTGAAGAGGGACACCTGATGGCACTTTTTAACCTACATAATAAAGTTGTTAAGTTGTCTATGTAGACACAAAATTTTTAGGTCTTAATTTTTAGAAGAAAAATGATATTACCTTTTTGATGAAGTGTTACTCATTTCTGTGGGTATATGTTTTTTCATACGTATTCTCTTCATATTAGGGACTTAGAAATTTAAGTTTTTTTCATTTTTTATTATAACTATGAACACTTTTGGACAGAAATATTTGTATTTTTAACTGTTTCCCAAGGGAAGTTTCCTAAGTTAGTAAAACAAGGGACAAGGACTTTGAAGTATCAAATTCTCTTTGAAGATGTGATAGCCCTTGACATTGTCACCAGTTGTGTGTGCAATTCTTTTCTTACTGCAGCCTTTCCAAACTTGAATAGTGTCATTTAACATGGTTCCTGTTAAATTTGGAAGTCTAAAAGTGCTGAAATACTGTTCCTTTGATTTGTGTTTTCTTTTTGATTACCAGAACTTTGGCTTAGATAGTAAATGTAAATAGAAAATTCTAATTATGATCCAGACAAAATATTGTGAAGAGATTGTGAGAAAAGGTAAACTGATAATTATGTCCTTTTTTTTTAAATGAGGCTGATATTTGATTAGGCCCGTGTGAAAGGGCTTGGGCCATGCATTTTTCTCACAGCAGCACTGTGGGGTAGCTTTTACAGCTGTTTTAGAGATCAGGAGAATGTGTATCAGAGGTACTGTTATCAAGCCCCAGAGGTTGAAATCCAAGGCTGAGCCAGTGCTGTGTCCTATGCTATGTGTAAGTAACCCTGGGAACTGGATAACAAATTCCACTTGTTCTGTGCTCTCTTACCTGTAAGTTGTGTTAGGTGGTAATTATTTAATTTACTTTAATTACTTTAATACCAATAAAGTTGCTAATATGTGCATCAAAACTGGGTAACATTTGGGCCACTATTGGATTTAGAAGAATGGACAGATTGAGAGGTTCAGAATTGTAGAGGCCAGTATCATTGTACCAGTTTTCTTTCTAGATAAGTCCACCAACTGGTCAGCATTTATGGGTGAAAGCATATGGCTGAATGATGAAATAATGTCCCATCATACATTGTGAGTGTGATGTCATAAAACATAAAAAATACTATTATATTCTTCCAACAAATCTATAAAGACTTTACCATGAAAATGATGAATATCTACAGTTTCCATTGGTTGTAGCGGTGGTGGTTAATCTTTGCTTCCCTCAACATTTTTGTATAGCCTTCTGTTTACATTCCTGGGATTGGGATTGCTGGACTTTAGGTTACAGGTTACATATTATCTTAAACTGGTTCTCCACAGCAGTTGTATCAATTTATATTCTGATAATTTTTCATACATGCTACTGTTTCTCTAGAGATGCATTGTCT